GTTGTGCATGGATGAGCTGGGAAATGGCTGCATTACCCACCCAGGACAAGACCTGCAGAGCTCATGACCCTCCTCAGTCCCCCCCCAGTACACAGCTGCTTAACCCCCCGTTTCCACATAGGACTTAATCTTCCCAACCTGAACGTCCTCCCCGTTGAGGTCCCTCCCTTGGGTCTTCTCCCCAGAGCGATCCAAACTAGCTGACCCACCACCAGCCACCGCTCGTGATGCTCGGAGGAGGGTCAGTGCCAGCAGCATGGGGACCCTGCCCGGGGGGGCCGTGATAGTGTGCAGGGTCGCTCCCCCCTCGGAGGCCCTTCCCGGGTGCGGGAGGACACCCACGCACGGCAGCAGGGCTCGGCGCAGAAACGACTCGGCCAAGCACACAGCACGGCCAGGGATGTGCTAGTGCAGAGCAGAGCCAAGGCAAGGCAGGATGGTGTTACTTCAGGACACAGTGCTGGCCTCCTCCGCTCCCTGGGAAGGGTGGGGTGGGTTTTTCTCCTTTTTCCTCTCCTTTTTCCATCTTGGCCATTTGGAAGTGCAGGGCAGAGCTGATCCCCGCTCCCCTCTGCACATGTGAGACTGCCGTTGTGATCAGCAGAACAGCTAGGACGAGGGCCAGAGGTCTCACGCAGAAGGTTTGAGCTGAGTGTCTTTCGAGCGTGGGGTGTTTCTGGCTGTGTGTTTATTCCTGTGTGTTTATTATAGTGAGGGTCCAAGCTCCTGTCTGCTCCGGTGCTGGGGTACCAGGCGTGAGCAATCCTGCCAGCACTCATGGCTGTGCTGCCAGTTGTTGTTTCGTACCTTGTTTGGCTACTTTGTTTAAATCTCCAGCCTCTGGAGTCAGGTGAATAAGGGCAATTCCCAACTTCCCTGTAAATAGAGGGCTGTGCTGCTTCTGGCTGCAGAGCAAGTAGGTCCCAGGGCTGCTGTGGGATGAAGACAGTGCTGCAGTAGGACAAACAGTGGGCTACAGCTCTTTGCAGGTAAGACACAGTCTCCTTGTGCAGGCACAGTTTCAGTGGGACCAGGACTCCCTTTTCTTTGGTGCTTGGCGTGACAGCACTTCCAGCTAGTGCAAAAGGCTTTGGGGTGACTGTCTTGCCCTGGGGATGGGAGTAGGGATGGGCAGAAGCCCCATTCATTTAAAGGTCTGGCCTGAAGATTGTTCTTAGCACCTGCGAATCCTAGAAGCTGGCTTAACTGGGCACTTGAGGGTCTCTTAAAGAAACCTTGGAGCGGTCTCCTTAGCAGTCCCCAGGTCTCCTTCTCCCACAGCTTTGGCAGGCAGGGTCCTGTCAGTCCACAGGAGCTGGCCGTGGCTGGAGTGCTCCGGCACCTGGAGCTCAGTGTTTCAGAGCCACGGCTAGCCGGGGGTTAGCGGGAGCCCCCAGAAGGGCGGGGCTCCGC